CCGGTAGTTTCTTCTGTTGAATTTGGCACAATAAACGTCACCGAGCAATGACAGAAAATCACGTTTTATGGGGGAAAAACTCTGTTTATGTGGATTTTGAGAATGAAAGGATGAAAGACTAATGTGCTTACAGATTGATGGCGAGCAGGGTATCGCCTGCGATGGATCCGTGACACAGGGGGATCAGTGTTACAGGAACAATGGGCCTTTCATTGGGGGCTTCTCGTGTCAATAAATCCGCATATCTTTCTGACGTTTATGCCCGTGTTTTGATTTGTGATCCTGTTTTGACTTTCTTAGCTCCTTAAATCTATTGGTGTATTATTTACTTCTTGTCTAACAAAACCTATTTATCCTTTGTGTCAACTGTCCCACCATGTTGTTATTCGGGCGCGGCTGAAGTACCCATTTAATCATAACATGGCAATATCCGCAAGTCTTATTTGTGGACGTTGATGGGAAAGGTTGTTAGTATTTAACTGCATTTTAGTTCGGTAAAAGCTCAATGTTGTATAATCATATATTCTCCGTTATATTGACGACAGCCACCATGATCTGACTTGCAGAATGGAGGAGAACACATCAATTCATTTTATTACTCGAAAACCCACCGAGGGCGAGCATACATTAAACATTTAAAAAAATACAAGCATGATGACATGCCTGAAAGTTATGTTTCAGCGGCAGCACGTTTAAACAGTACATTAATAAATTTAGAAAGATTCTTTAAAAAATAAAAATGATTTGTAGATATTTCGCCATTCATTGATTGTTTTGTGAATGTACATTCACAGCTGTAAAAGAACTTTACATCTGAACCGATTGTGAAACTCATCCCCAACGGCAGAAGACTGACATAGTTGAGTGCTGTGGAAGGTTAACAGCGTGGTCTACTGTAACATGCAAGCACGACATACGGAAGATATCAATTCCCACGACAGTCAAATAAATTCAAGAGATTGAAGATGTGCAGATTCATCCAAGGACCGGTTCAAGACTATTGCCCATAAATGACCTTAGTGAGCTGCGGAGGTTTCAGAACTAGTTATCTTCTGCGGTCAAAACACCGAGGTGGCTGTTTAATGTATTCTTTTTGTACACTTTCTACATTTTGGAGCATGTGCCAGACAGTTTCAGTTATCACAGACGATTCACTTATAGTGATGAGCTCTAAAGAGGTAATACAATATGTACATCGGTTGGTGACATAACATTAAGCATTTGGAGCAATATGAGAAAGAGGCTTTGGTCGCGAGGGATAATCAAAATCCGATCACTAAAATCATTAACATCTCATATACTGATTTCAAAGAGTTTTTATTTGTTACCTAAGTCAGAATGGAGATTGAGGTTTTACTACAGCTGTAAATGCCTCGTGGGTAATAGGGCTTTAGCTCGCCTCTGAATGGCTCTTGAGGAAAAAACCGTAATGGCTCCAAGTATGTTGAAGCTTTTGTTACGTCGCATCGTTTAACCATTTTGACGTCCTAACACTGTCACTAAGCAGTGCCAAATGTCACGGATAAACAGGCTTTATCATTGTGACCTCTAGGAGGTGGTGAGTTCGTCATAAAAACCTGATTTAATTTCATCCGGGGAAATAACAACTCGCAGGAGACTTGAGAACACCCCGTGAGGTAATGTGGATCGTGGTTCAAAGCGTGGGACTTTAATTCTCTCAGGAACCGTGATAACATGGTATTAAGCATAACTTGCAATTATTGCAGATGTTACGTGTCGTTATGAGACGTAGGTCTGTGTAGTAGTGCGTGTTGTTTTTCAAAACATTAGACTATTTCAAAGCAGACACAATGTATTGATCTCAACGTCTTAGAAATGCCCATCAAACAATACCATTAGATCATTTCATTAAACATAATATTTAGATTATACAGTTTGTCTGAGGCAAGGTTGTATGCTCAGCCCTCATCTGTTAGGGGGCGGTGGGGCAGTCTGGTGGTTAAAACGTTCGCTCATCACGCCGAAGATCCGGGTTCGATTCCCGACATGGGTACAAAGTGTGAAGCCCATTTCTGGTGTCCCCTGCCGTGATATTGCTGGAATATTGCTAAAAAACATACTCACTCACTCTGGTAAGACCACGAAAGCTGTGTGTATTCAGACGATTTCAAGTCTTTCCATTGACTTACCAGAATTATGTGATGTAGCATGAGTTCGTTTTGATTATGACTCTTTGTTTGTCAGGACCCATGCTCTTGGGTTTCACCAAAATGGCAACCGTCAAAGATCTACTTCGGTTTTTATGTACTACACCAATCTGCTGATATGCCGTGATATAACTGAAATAGTGGTATTAAATCCAACACTCCTCAGTCGACAAGGTGTTGATGCTTGCTACTGCCACCTTTCCCACTGCCAGCCAATCTCTCTCACACACTCTCTCACACTCTCTCTCACTCTCTCTCTCACTCTCTCTCACTCTCTCTCTCTCACTCACTCTCACTCTTATTCTCTCTCTCTCTCACACACTCTCTCTCTCACTCTCTCACACTCCCTCTCACTCTCTCTCTCACTCACTCTCACTCTTATTCTCTCACTCTCTCTCACTCTCTCTCTCACTCACTCTCACTCTCTCACTCTCTCTCTCACTCACTCTCACTCTTATTCTCTCACATACTCTTTTTCACTCACTCTCCCTCACACACACTCTCTCACTCTCTCTCACTCATACACAATCTCTCTCAAACACCCACTCTCAGTCTCTCTACTCTCTCACTCTCTCTCACTCACACTCACTCTCTCTCTCTCTCACACACACTCCCTCTCTCTCACACACACTCACGCTTACTATCACTCTCTCACACTCACTCACGCTCACTATTATTCTCTCACATACTCATTTTCACTCACTCTCTCTCACTCTCTCTTACTCACACACAATCTCTCTCAAACACCCACATACAGTCTCTCTACTCTCTCTCACTCTCTCTCACTCACTCTCTCACACACACACTCACGCTTACTCTCACTCTCTCTCTCTCTCTCACTCTCTCTCACTCACTCTCACACACACACACACTCACGCTTACTCTCACTGTCTCACACACTCACTCTCACTCTCTCACACACAGTGTCTCTCACTCTCACTTTCACTCACGCTCTCTCTCTCTCTCTCTCGATCTCTCACCCTTGCTCTCTCTCACTCACTCTCACACACTCACACACACTCATGCTTACTCTCATTCTCTCACACACTCACTCTCTCACACTCTCTCTCACTCTCTCTCACTCACACACACTCTCTCTCACTCTCTCTCACACAAAATCTCTCTCAAACACTCATGCTCAGTCTCTCTACTCTCTCTCACTCTCTCTCACTCTCTCACACACTCTCTCACTCACTCTCACAACCTCGCACACACACACTCACGCTTACTCTCACTCTCTCACACACTCTCCCTCACTCTCTCACACTCTCTCTCACTCTCTGTCTCACTCACTCTCACTCACTCTCTCTCACACACACTCTCTCTCTTACTCTCTCACGCACTCTCTCACTCACTCTCACTCTCTCTCACTCACACACACTCTCTCTCACTCTCTCTCACTCACACAAAATCTCTCTCAAACACTCATGCTCAGTCTCTCTACTCTCTCTCACTCTCTCTCACTCCCTCACACACTCTCTCACACACTCTCTCACTCACTCTCACTCTCTCTCTCACACACACTCACGCTTACTCTCACTCTCTCACACACACTCTCTCTCACTCTCTCACACTCTCTCTCACTCTGTCTCACTCACTCTCTCTCTCTCACTCTCTCACGCACTCTCTCACACACTCTCTCACTCACTCTCACTCTCTCTCACACACACACACTCACGCTTACTCTCACTCTCACACATACACTCTCTCTCACTCTCACTCACACACAATCCTTCTCAAACACCCACACCCAGTCTCTACTCTCTCTCTCACTCACTCTCACTCTCTCTCATACACACACTCTCTCTCTCACTCACACACACACTCTCTCTCACACACTCTCTCTCACTCTCTCTCTCACAAACTCTCTCTCACTCTCTCTCTCTCACTCACATACACTCTCTCTCACTCACACACAATCTCTCTCACTCACTCACTCTCACTCACTCACTCTCACTCACTCTCTCTCACACACTCTCTCTCACTCGCTCACACACTCACTCTCACTCACTCACTCTCACTCACTCTCTCTCACACACTCTCTCTCACTCTCTCACACACTCACTCTCACTCTCCCTCACACACTCCCTCTTACTCTTTCTCACTCTCTCTCTCTCTCTCAGACACGATCAATCTCTCTCTCATTCTCTCACAGTCACGCTCACTCTCACTCTCACACTCTCTCTCACTCTGTAACAATCAACAACAATTAGTATTGAGTTTAATTCTACTGTCTTTGTAAAGTTAGGCAAACTAGCAATGCGTGCTTACCTTGACATAAATTGAGCTTTCACATACATCACCATGATGCCTTCACATCAGGAATTGCATCAGTGAAATGAGCACGCAATGCTATGTTGATACTTCATCAAGAGATTGGAGCCAGGATTCTATTCCTGGCGTCTGCTCAGCGGGTTTTCCTACCCCAATCGCATTGTATACCACTTTCATATTTATGATTACAAATACAAGCTGTGACATAATGTTTAATTAACAATAACTCCATTAACGTCTCCACGTTTCAGAACGAGAAGGGTTGAAGCGGCTTCTCGAATTAGAATAATGATTCTTGAAGCGTTAAGCTCGGTGTGTCTTGGCGATATACCAAGACGAGCCTATTGTGTGCAATGTGGCGAAAGGTTTCCGGCTTGTAAGTGTGGTTCCAGTCGCACATTCCTCCCATTTATAATCAGATGGATTATAGAAAGTATGCATGTTTGCAGCTAAAGCTTTATCGCGTGCTATCGGCATGCGGAGCAGGCGGTAAGATATATAGATTGTGTCACTGGATTGTGGGGCGGAGCGGTGGTAGGTGAGGTGGAGTAGATAACACTAGGTTGTGGAGTGGATGGTGGGATAAGTCGGGATGTAGCGGGCAATAGTTGAAGTGGATGGTGGGATAGGTCGGGATGTAGCGGGCAGTAGTTGAAGTGGGTGGTGGGATAAGTCGGGATGTAGCGGGCAGTAGTTGAAGTGGATGGTGGGATAGGTCGGGATGTAGCGGGCAGTAGTTGAAGTGGGTGGTGGGATAGGTCGGGATGTAGCGGGCAGTAGTTGGAGTGAGTGGTGGGATAAGTCGGGATGTAGCGGGCAGTAGTTGAAGTGGGTGTTGGGATAAGTCGGGATGTAGCGGGCAGTAGTTGAAGTGGGTGGTGGGATAAGTCGGGATGTAGCGGGCAGTAGTTGAAGTGGGTGGTGGGATAAGTCGGGATGTAGCGGGCAGTAGTTGGAGTGGATGGTGGGATAAGTCAGGATGTAGCGGGCAGTAGTTGGAGTGGGTGGTGGGATAAGTCGGGATGTAGCGGGCAATAGTTGGAGTTGGTGGTGGGATAAGTCGGGATGTAGCGGGCAATAGTTGGAGTGGATGGTGGGATAAGTCGGGATGTAGCGGGCAGTAGTTGAAGTGGGTGGTGGGATAAGTCGGGATGTAGCGGGCAGTAGTTGAAGTGGGTGGTGGGTTAAGTCGGGATGTAGCGGGCAGTAGTTGAAGTGGGTGGTGGGATAAGTCGGGATGTAGCGGGCAGTAGTTGGAGTGGATGGTGGGATAAGTCGGGATGTAGCGGGCAGTAGTTGGAGTGGATGGTGGGATAAGTCAGGACGTAGCGGGCAGTAGTTGGAGTGGGTGGTGGGATAAGTCGGGATGTAGCGGGCAATAGTTGGAGTTGGTGGTGGGATAAGTCGGGATGTAGCGGGCAGTAGTTGAAGTGGGTGGTGGGATAAGTCGGGATGTAGCGGGCAATAGTTGGAGTTGGTGGTGGGATAAGTCGGGATGTAGCGGGCAGTAGTTGAAGTGGGTGGTGGGATAAGTCGGGATGTAGCGGGCAATAGTTGGAGTTGGTGGTGGGATAAGTCGGGATGTAGCGGGCAATAGTTGGAGTGGATGGTGGGATAAGTCGGGATGTAGCGGGCAGTAGTTGAAGTGGGTGGTGGGATAAGTCGGGATGTAGCGGGCAGTAGTTGAAGTGGGTGGTGGGTTAAGTCGGGATGTAGCGGGCAGTAGTTGAAGTGGGTGTTGGGATAAGTCGGGATGTAGCGGGCAGTAGTTGGAGTGGATGGTGGGATAAGTCGGGATGTAGCGGGCAGTAGTTGGAGTGGATGGTGGGATAAGTCAGGATGTAGCGGGCAGTAGTTGGAGTGGGTGGTGGGATAAGTCGGGGTGTAGCGGGCAATAGTTGGAGTTGGTGGTGGGATAAGTCGGGATGTAGCGGGCAGTAGTTGAAGTGGGTGGTGGGATAAGTCGGGATGTAGCGGGCAGTAGTTGGAGTCAATGGTGGGATAAGTCGGGATGAAGCGGGCAGTAGTTTGAGTCAATGGTGGGATAAGTCTGGATGTAGCGGGCAGTAGTTGGAGTAGGTGGTGAGATAAGTCTGGATGTAGCGGGCAGTAGTTGGAGTCAATGGTGGGATAAGTCGGGATGTAGCGGGCAGTAGTTGGAGTAGGTGGTGAGATAAGTCTGGATGTAGCGGGCAGTAGTTGGAGTGGATGGTGGAATAAGTCGGGATGTAGCGGGCAGTAGTTGGAGTCAATGGTGGGATAAGTCGGGATGTAGCGGGCAGTAGTTGGAGTGGATGTGGGATAAGTCGGGATGTAGCGGGCAGTCGTTGGAGTGGGTTATGGGATAAGTCGGGATGTAGCGGGCAGTAGTTGGAGTCAATGGTGGGATAAGTCGGGATGTAGCGGGCAGTAGTTGGAGTGGATGGTGGAATAAGTCGGGATGTAGCGGGCAGTAGTTGGAGTCAATGGTGGAATAAGTCGGGATGTAGCGGGCAGTAGTTGGAGTTGGTGGTGGATGGATTTGGGAGTTGGTAAAAGAGGGCGGTTGCGATAGATGGAATTGAGTGGAGGATGGTGGGTAGTTCTATTCTGTGATTAGTTGCTGTGGCTTTAACTGTATATATTGGCCTCGGTTGTTAGAATGTTTAGTGTACAGCTGGGTTGATTTGCTGCTGAATTGTTGAACATTTAAGGACGTTAAGGAGGTGGAATGGGTGAATTAAGTGGCGGGTGGATAGATTTAGCGGGTAGTTAAATGAATTACGTGGTCAAATGTGTACTCCCACTTGTATCTTTGGGTCAAATTCCAATATCGAGTTCAACATATGAGTGGTAATTGTATTGTTTCTCTCTTTCTAGTTCATCCTGTAGTCTCTTAGATCGTGCGCTTCATAAATCTGTAATTACATTAACAGATAATGAAAGAACAACAGTATCACCATCTGCCTCAGTCCGTATCCAGAGACATTCAGTTGTGCAAAACCCCTTTTGATCGATGCTGGTTTACCTTCGGGGATCATTAAGACGCTGACCGTACAAAGCCCCGTAGCTAGGAACGCTGTTATGATACCCTCAGAAGCGTGGGTTGGAGGGAGGCTTCGGGCACAGTGCTTCGGTCAGATCACAGTGACCTAGACACGGGTCAACAAGCGACCAACAATTTAAGTGGGAATCGACTACTTCGTGTGCGACCCCAGACAAGAGGAGCTGGGCCCGAGGTTGACACAGCGGGGATTCGGGGGCAGAATAGGTCGCTTTGTGGCCACCTTAAGCGCCGACCAAACTGGGGCTCGGGTGGGCACAATGGCTGAATGTGTTTCACCGTGGCCCGGCGGCGCGGAGTCTAATGCTACCAATCCTAGTTTACGTAGCCAAGACTTATTCCAGCTATATGACAGCCGTCTGCAAGTATTCAAGTCTGGGCCAGACCATCCAGTGAATGGCATCATGATCATCAATCCAAGCAATTGGGAATCAATGACGTGCATCAACCAAGTCAGCGATCCCGTTAATCGTCTCTTACGAGAAGCATAGGTTGTTGACGACCTATTCTAACCCGGATGGTCACCATGGAATAGTCACGAAAAAGTCAATCGATAATCGATTACGGTTTCAGTATGTGTATGAAACTTTGTAACCAAAACAAATATGATTCGTCAGAAAATTAATACAGGATTTTGTAAAATGGTTATCTTCTAAGGAAACAAAGTAAGCGGTGCTCAATAGGTTTTTTTTCCAGGCGTGCCTCGATAAGGCAAGGAAATAGCTGAAAAGTGTGCCCTATTCTATATGAAACAATCTCACCTAAAGAATTTCTGTTTCTAAAAAGCATGACATATTCTGAAGATGATGATTACATTGTCACTACAATTTACTATAAAACGGCGACAGGCTAACACCTAATTATGTAGTAGTACCCTAATGGTACTAACAGCTGCAACGTGGGACCATATGACGAACATAGTTGTGTCTAAGGTCAAGGTATCCTTGTTTTTCATCTGGTGTCATGACTTGGTAAAGTCAGTAGGTGAGTGTTTGATGCAACAGTCGTCAATATCATAGCGGTCTGGCCATTATGGGGGCTTGGTCAGCAAAACCAGTGGTTGGTCCCATGAACAACGATCTACGCCGTCGGGTGCACTGAGACGAGCCAGATCATACCCATCAGCAATATGTACTACTCAAAATAAGATTTTGTTTGTTTGTTTGTTGTTTAACGCCGCACTCAGCAACATTCCAGCTATATGGCAGCGGTCTGTAAATAATCGAGTCTGGACCAGACAATCCAGTGATTAATATCATGTGCATCGATCCACGCAATTGGGATCAATGACATGCATCAACCAAGTCAGCGATTCTGACCACCCGATCCCGTTAGTCGCCTTTTGCGACAAGCATAGTCGCCTTTTACGGCAAGCATGGGTTGCTGAAGACCTATTCTACCCCGGAAACTTCACGGGTCCATCAAAATAAGAAGAAGACCCGATTCTCTGTTGTCATGGGCATGACAGATTAACAAGGATAATATGAAAAGAATAAGCTGTTTTTTAACTTCTTTGGAGTAGTATACTTGGCCTAACAGAACATAGGGTGTGATTAAGGTTTTGAAGGAACAGCTGTGAGAACAACAGAGCTAGGATTCAGCTCGCCCTCACTATACCCACAAATCACCTTTATATCCCGATAGGGTGCACGGGTGGGCCAGTCGTCTAAGGCGCCACGATTTGCTGTGCAGAGTTGCGTCCCTTGGGCACGCCAGAAACCTATGATTGTTGGTTCGAATCCCGGTTCGCCCCGATTATGTTTCTAGGTATGTCAGCACCATACCCGTGCTCGTGGGTTTCACCGAACTGGTAAACGTCTAAGACCTGCATCACTTCGAGTTTTCCTCTCACATTAAGCTGACACGCCGGGATTACTCCAGCTGTATGACGGCAGCTTGTAATTACTCGAGTTTGGATAAGGCAAACTAAGGAGGCGATGCCAATATCTGTGAGTGAGTGAGTGAGAGAATAGCGTTTTATTATTTAAGCAATATTCCAGGTTTGTCACGGCCACCTGTAACTAATTCAGCCAAAGAGCAGACAACGAGTAGTCGATTGCTTGAGAACCTACTTGATTTAACAACCTGTTTGTGACGTCAACTAGATTTAAGGGTGGCCTCGTAGTTGTGTCCTGAGCTCTGGATTCCAGTCTCACACTGTACAAAGCACTGTTCAATTGCCGGGTTCGAGTCTTATGTAATGTTTGTGAAATCCGCCCTTCACACGTCCTTAATAAAGGCATCTTCCCGAGGCAAGGGTTGGTTGGTTGGTTGGTTGTTTAACGCCGCACTCAGCAATGTTCCAGCTATATGACGGCGGTCTGTAAATAATCGAGTCTGGGCCAGACAATCCAGTGATTAATATCATGAGCATCGATCCACGCAATTTGGATCGATGACAGGGATCAACCAAGTCAGCGAGCCTGACCATCCGATCCCGTTAGTCGCCTTTTACGACAAGCATAGTCGCCTTTTACCGCAAGCAAGGGTTGCTGAAGACCTATTCTACCCCGGAACCGAGGCAAGGGAGTTAACTGACTCTAAAAGTTCAGTTTCCACCCTTGCCGAACTAGAATAGAATTTCTGGGTTCGATCGTACTGCTACCAGTACGATCGTTATGTCCCTTCTATGTCCCTCCTATTGATCAGTAAGATTCCACTTCTCATATCACAACACATTTCCCTCAAATAAAATGTCGTCGACCAGTGAAGACGATCTGATCGATAGCAAGAGCTGTATTGTAATAAAACGGTTCTTACTTCGCGAAGCGAATGAAAGTGAGCACCTTGATTAAAAACATGAAAAGATTTGAAAAATATCTGTTGACGCTAAGCTGTCGATATACATGCTTTGAAAATCCGGCAATCGACCGAAATCTGCACGGCAAGTTTATGAACCGGATGTTGATATCATTACGCGATTTTGATTGGACTATGCATAGACTTGTTAGTCCAGCCAAAATATAACTCCATAATTCCAGCCCAGTTCGACAAGGGTGGAAACTGGACTTTTATAGTACCTTGCCTCGGGAAGATGTAATAAAGGACAATGATCCAGTGTTTCGGGCCATTATAATCTACAGTCCGTTTGATTCCATCTGAGACCAATGAGTTGCTCACGAACTCAAAATCTAATAATTGCAACAAAACCAAAATGTGCACAGCGACATGAATTGGACAGACAAACTCTGATGGTTTGTCTCATAATTTTGGACACCCGAATAAAAAAATTGTTTAACAAACGATCATCATATTGTTGACATTTTTCGCCATCCCATACCAGGGAGGACCAGTTGCTCATAGAACAGCCAGGTGGGCGAGTTTCATGTGCGAAAGTGACGTTAGAAACGCCATTAAGACTCTGTATAAACAAAATATCTATGTCTCTCTCCGTACACTAAAAAAATATATGGAGACAAATCATTCTTTGACCATTTCAAAATATCAGTTAAGGAAATTGCTACACCAATTTGGTTTCCGTTACAAAAAAGTAGGCTCCGAAAATAGACATGCATTATGCGAGAGGACTGATATTGTTTGACTAAGGAACCATTTCTTACGCACAATACGAGAAAAACGTTACGAGGGTTATGAGCCCGTATACTTGGACGAAACGTGGGTAAACGCTTCCCATACCACAGGAACACAATGGTTCTCTAGACTTGAATCAAATTCTAGAACTCTCATTTGTCCAGTGCCTAGTCCTCCTTCAACAATATTGCCGAAAGAAAGGTTGAAGACTGGAAATGCCATTACCGCATGTCAAAAAGGCGTCAGGAAATGTTCATGGAGGTCGACGTGGCAAGTGTTTGTGGGGCATACTAACATGCTGTTTGCACATGCAGATGAGCGGATTGAAACCATACGAAACATTATGCAGTTTTAATGGCTGGGAACCCACTGACTTGTGATGGCCCCGTTACAATGAGGTACATTCACTGAAGTACGAGTCCCAGGGCTGGCGACCATAAAATGAAATCCGAGTCGAAACACAATAATATTTTCTTGCGTCATTCTTGCAACGTTAACTGACTGGGTCGATTTTCATTTACACTTGTGGAAAGAGTTTTCAGCCCGTTCAGAATCCCAGCGTATATAAAACCTTACCGGGATACACAAATGTCAATACTGACGATTTCACTGTCCAACGCGGAAGTCATTCCGAAATTATAGTTTATGCAAAAGAAATCATCACCAAAGAGAGTCTTTGTTGATAGGTATTACCATATTTTACCATCCTCACAAACAAACAGTTGTGTCGTCAGCCTCAACAAATTGCAATCAGCAAATCTATGAATCACATTTTACGTCAAATCGATAGCGGTAATAACTATGTCGATATTTTAACGCGATAATTAATACGTTGGTGTGACTCCATGCCAATCCATATTCACTGATGGCGGACCGTGGGTGGGTTTTTTCAATCGTCAGAAACAGTTCAACTTCCTCAGGTGTAAATTATGCAATTTTCTACCACTGTTTTCTCAGACAGAATCTATCAATCAGGCTATGGGTCTATTCATGTAAATACAACGTTGATTGACGTCGCAACGGCACGTCAATTCAAGCACCAAAAACCCGTGCTAGTGGTTGTATTTCTAGGACAATCACATTGAACGCCTTCCACCCGTCCTGTCAATATAATGTGTGGCTGTGCAACACAACACTAGTGGAGAGTCATAAAGAGATCTGATATTGTCTGTTTTTCTAGCCACTGGATAAATATATTTTGGTAGTAGCTCGTGTAATTGAATGTGTGGTTTGGACCTGCTGCGTGATGGATCGTTTGCAAGTTTCAACTTTGCCTTTTCCCAATCGGTCATGTTTTAATACGTCTGTCTCAAATGAGTGAAGTTTGGCGTTAGAAAGCAGCGGTTCGTAAAAAAACGTACAAACGTGTTCGTGATCAAAGGGAGACAATTTGTTCCTGATTCCTTGAATTTTCATGGTATCGGTGATCTAGCTCTAAGGAACGTGGTTTCTATTTCGGAAACTTACTTACTTTTACATACTAAAGCGATAGCTACTTCTGATTATCTGGTCGTAAAATATATTCTCTGAACAACGCTTCCACAGACTGTTTCAGTTATTTCAGATAATTTCGTGGATTTATTACAGACTTATATGACGTGAATATTTTATTCTCAAGGAAAAGGAGTGGGCACAAGTTTTTCCAACTTAGGTAGTCCTCTCTGAAACAATTTATATGATTAGCGTTATATAATATCTCAATTGAGACATGTACAAAAGACAGATGTAAACACCTTCTAGCGACCCTTGGCAGCTTGGGTTGTATACTCCCCAGGGAGTTGAGAATGATAACTGGAATGGATAAGGATCCTGGTAGATGAACAAATAAAACCGCATTTGAGCAGATACTAGTACCTGGATATCTGCGGTATATAACCGAGACAGTTAGGACTGTCTATTAAACCAATTCTAAATAAGACATAATTCAGCTGACATAGCGTAATTTTGTGAGCAAAATATTGTACCTCTTTAAACCACAGGACAAATATAAGGAGTACATTGAGTATGTGTTTTGGTGTTGATTTTACAAGAACTTAGAGTACTGGGTTCTCTTAATTGAGACTGACTAATTACTGACTACATAATTGTGTTCCACTGAATGGTGACGATCTATTTCGTCACACAGATATTACATCAACAGTATTTGGCAAAAGTTCACACAAGGAGGAAGGGGTTACATCGTTTTAATTTGATAAAATAAGCTGAGCTTACGATACTTTCTTCTTCTTTTTCAGGTATCTTAACCAGTTTCAAATGAGAGAGCATCTCGGGAGCATTTTTGATCAACCCGGTCACTACACGAGCTGTCACTGGAGTCTTTTGATAAAACAATTTCTGAACTATTCTTATCATACAATGTGGACACATTTACAGATGCAATAACAGAGATATCGATGCGGCTGTGAGACAGTTAACATCGTGTATTACCAAAGCTGCTGATGTTTGTGGTATGACGCAACATGAATCGTCATCACGACAAAGTGTGGATGCTGTGTGGCATGATAGTGACTGTAAAGGACTGTAACATGAAAAATATAATACCCTAAATATGTTTAGGATCACTGGTGACTTTAATTATCTTCCTGAATTTAGACGTTTGAGAAATATGTATAGATATTTATGTCGACAAAAGAAAAGTGATTATGAAGACAGTACTGTTATTAATCTTTTGTCGAATTCATCTATCTATTTTGGATTAATATTAAGAATATCATGTGTCAATGGATAATTCTATATCATCCATAATTACATATGAGTGTTTGACATATTTTCAAAATATATTGAATATTACTGATTTTGATGTTGATATTGATAATCTAAATAAGGCTGAAATGTTTATTTCAGAAAATTTTGATGCTGTTTGCAGCTCTTGTGATGGCTGCGATATTTTGAATAGTTATAGTACATATGATGAGGTTTTGAATGCTATAAATAATTTGAAAGATCCTGACGCAGTTCTTCCAGAAATGATTAAATGTTGTAAAGCTATTCTTATTCCATATTTAGTTGTGTTGTATAACACTCTATTGCAGAGTGGACAGTACCCGAGGATTGGGCTCGAGGTCTTCTGAAGCCACTTCATAAGACAGGGAGCAAAGCTGACGTTAACAATTATAGGGGTATTACCCTTAGTGATATATTTGGTAAAGTTTTTACATATATTTTGGACAAAAGACTAACTTTTTTGTGATATGTTTGAAAAGCTTCCAGAATCTCAAGCTTGCTTCCGGACTGGATATAGCACAGTTGATGATATTTTTGTTTTGCAGAGTTTGATTCAAAAGTACTTATCTAAGACAAATGGACGATTTTAATGTGTATTTGTTGATTTAAAAAAAGCATTTGATTGTGTTCATCGTAAACTGTTGTGGTATATTTTGTTAAGAAAAGGTATACATGGTAGAGTTCTTGGGGTAATTAAAGATATGTACTCCAAAGGTACATCCGCCGTTAAGTTGTCTAATTATGAAATTTCATGTTTCTTTGATACCTTAAGTGGTGTCAGACAGGGATGTCCATTAAGTTTTTTTCTTTATTTATTGTTGAGCTAGAACATATGTTGCAATCTTCAGGGCAGAGAGGTATTTTTGTTGGACAGGACTTTGTTGACATTTTGTTGTTATTATATGCAGATGACTTATGTTTATTTGAGGACAGCGTTATTGGTCTACAGAGAAAGACTGATATACTTAAAACATTTTGCTTGAAATGGGGATTGCAAGTATACTTGGATAAAACTGAAATTTTAGTTTTCAGGAATGGTGACAAACTTAGAAATAAAGAGAATTGTAAATTTGGAAACATTAATATTAAAGTTTCTACCTATTACAGCTACCTTGGTTTAATATTTTCAAACCGTTTGTGTTGGACTTCGGGCGTCAATAACCTGGTGAATAAGGCTAATAAAGCTCTCTTTGCATTGAAGCAAATAAGAATTCGTTTTAATATTATTCCTATCTCCACCTTATTTAAGATTCTTGATATGCAAAAAAAGCCCATATTGTTGTACTCGTCAGAAGTGTAGGGTTTTAACAAAATGCCAGCAGTTGAAAAATTTCATGTGAAATTATGTAATTTTGTTTTTGGTGTTGGAAATCATGTAAACAAGAGCAGCAGTATTAGGAGATTGTGGTAGATATGGATTGTATGTTGATTACCATAAAAGGTGTATTACATATTGGTTACATTTATTATATTTACCTAATACTAAATACCCAAAGCAATGTTATATACTATTGAAGTCTCTAGATGCTGCTGGTCGCATTACATGGGTCACATATGTTAAAATAATGTTATTTAATTATGGATTGGGATTTGTTTGGATTTCGCAAGAAGCTGGTGATTGTAAAATATGTATTAATACCTTTGTACAAAGACTAAAAGATGGTTATCAACAAGAATGGTATAGTAAAGTTTGTGAATCTCGTAAACTAATATTCTATAAAGAATTTAAGTTACTTTTGAACGTTGAATTCTATTTAACAAATTTATCTCGCCAACGTTATAGATATATTATTTTTCTTGTACGATCTGGTGAGCTACCATTGATGAAACATTTTGGTAGACACTGTGGTGTGGAATATTCTCAAAGACTTTGTAATTATTGTGATATGCAAGCTGTTGTATGTCAATATTATAAGAATTTAAGAAACAGATATTTCCCAAAATATTATTGTCCTAACCTATGTTTAAGAATATTGTACTCTCTAGTATCATGCAATAAGCAACTGATGTTGATTAATTGTGCAAAGTTTATATACAACTCTCTATTTGTTAGACAAAACGCACATCTGTCTCAAACATTTTTTTTGTAATTTATTGTACGTGGGCCAATGGCCTTTCTTCTGATATAAACATTGAATTGAATTGAATTATCACTGGAGGTTTTTTTTTAATTAAGTCATTGCTATAATCCTAATGAGAAACCATCCCATACCCCACAAGCATGTTCAAGGTGAGGACGTATGAAACTGGTGTGTATAGTATAAAGAGTCTTTCTTATTTATATGTACCTTTCTTTTTAATTATAATGTCAATCTAATTAAATCAGATCTTAGTTCTCGCTATTGCTAAACAAGATCTGAGGACATCCCATTACTGGTCACGTCAGACCGACCTTTCGCGAACTTTGACCGACCAATGGAAGGACTGACAAGAAGTCGACACCAGCCAGTCAGAAGGCAGCTTTCTCGTGCTTTACGGCACTAATTTCAAATTGGCGACTACGCTTCGAAACATATTTTGACAAATTCTCGATTAAAACTTTGAAACCTGAACAAAGGAACATTCTGGAATGGCTAATATATGGTCTAGATTGTATGGATTCCGTCGTTTAGCCCGTAATAATCGTTCGGAATACCCTGTGTTAAAGTTTTCGACGTTGCATGAATGGAAATCACATTCCGACTGTCACTTTCATGATCTGGTAAGAGAAGCTCTGATTGGTCGGACGAAAGGTCGTTCTGACGTGACCACTAATGGGATGTCCTCAGATCTTTGTTTTGCGGTAGCGAGAACTAAGATCTGATTATAATGAGATTGTTATAATGTTCGCATGTAATTAATTATAGATTTTATCAAAGACCATCTACCATCCGAAAAAAATGTTAACGTTGTACCAAGATGCTAT